AGGAAGGTACAGACAGTAACCATTTTTGCAACTGGGGCAAAAGTTTCATTATAATCAATTCCCTCAACTTGCTTGTTCCCAAAAACCACGAGACGAGCTTTATATCTTTCCACTATCCCATCAGCGTTATACTTGATTCAATAGACCCATTTGCATCATATGGCTCGTTTTCCGGATGGCAAAGGCTCCACAGTCCATGTCTAATTATTTTCAAGTGCCTGTATTTCTTTCTGCATATCATCCCTCCATTTTTCATCCTTTACGGCTTTAGCAAAAGAAGTGGGTTCAACTCCTACAGTGATAGCTAACAAGAAAGCACGATGTCGACAAGAAAAATTGTTACAGTTCACATAGTTATCTATGGGGTAAGGACTACCTGCAGAATGTGATTGGTCGAGTGAGCTTGCAAAGGGACGCGGAGAGGGACTCAAGCGCTGTGTGGTGTGAAGCACATAGTCTCTTAACCTTGTGGACTGTTGTTTCTGTCGATGACCACGCCCCAAATGAGTATTAGAGTGTTGTTGTTGCTCAACATTGCCACCCCCCCTGACGTCAGGTCTGTCTTCGCTTGCATTTTCTATGGTAATGTCAGAAGGATGCATGGGTGCATTGGTATTCGGGTCTATGTGGGTTCCTTCTTCTACACAGACTCCTTCTTCTGCGAGTTCATCTTGCTGGTTAGTCTCTGTCTCGCCATTTGCAAGTGTAGGTGAAGAAGTGGATGGTACCAACACCTTATCTGTCCCACTTATTCCACAATCTTGTGCTTTGTTCGGTCGTGCATCCTCTTTGTGTGCATACGAGAATTCATGCTCAAAGAAAGTAACATCTTTGGAAGCAAAGAACATGTCGGACTCTAAATCATATAAGCTCCGTCCTTTCTTCCCAAAAGGATACCCGACAAAAACACACCGTCTGCTTCGACTAACAAATTTATCCCCTCCATGACCAGGATTGTGCGCATATGCTAAGCAACCAAAGACTCGCACATTATCATAAGAAGGAKGTCGCCCAAATAACATTTCATAGGGAGTCTTTCCCTTTAACAGAATGGACGGTGTCCGATTGATCAGATAACATGCAGTCAAGACACATTCCCCCCAAAAATCAATAGGCAAGCTAGTTTGGAAGTGCAAGGCTCGGGCAACATTGAGTATGTGGCGGTGCTTGCATTCAACCCTCCCGTTTTGTTGAGAGGTCCCGACACAAGTGGTTGGATGAATAATGCCACTTTCAACAAAATAACCAGCCAAGCAAACAAACTCAGTCCCATTGTCAGTACGGATCACCTTGACAGGTTTGTTAAATTGCCTTTGAACCATAGCAAAAAAATTTCAAAGGACTCGTCCCACTTCCTTCTTATCAATCAGAAGATAAATCCAAACACCTCTAGAAAAATCATCCACTATGGTCAAGAAATAATGTGCACCACAAGAAGCTGCAATTCTATAAGGACCCCACAAATCACAATGTATTAACTCAAAGGACTTGTTTAGCTTGGAAGCATACATCACAACCCTTAATACTGTTAGTATGCTTAGTACGAAAAGGTAGCAATTTAATAAGTCTATAAGAAGGATGCCCCAACCTTTGATGCCAAATATCCGACGTTCTGCTCTCTATAGTCTTCATTGCTCTTGTTGATGCAATGCTCCAGAAATAATAGAGTCCCTCTCGCTGCTCACCCATTCCAATCAGCATCCTCGTAGTGCGGTCCTGTATCACACAAAATTTGTTAGTGAATTGGACGATACAATTCGATTCCTCAATTAATTGTGATACAAAAAGTAAATTGCAATTCAAACTAGGCACATATAAAACACTAGTCAGTTTCAGGTGATCGTCCAGTGCAATTGTGCCTTCTTTTTCTGCTATCGTCGCTTTCCCTCTGGCAGTCCGACAAAGCACGAATGATATTCTTTATGTCTCTCATCGACTCGAGGTTTCCTGTCATATGATGAGAGGCCCCTGTGTCTATTATCCATTATGACAATTTTTTCTTACCACTTAGTCGTTGAATCCCTTCTTTCTGTGTGTTCAAAAGGTTGAGTAACATGTTCCACTGCTCACTGCTCAGTCCATTTAACCCGGTCTTGGCTGCATCGATTGATTCTCCTTGAGACGTATTGCCTTGCGTAGAGGCTTTGGCTGTATTGGCCTTAGCTTGGCTGTCATGACTTTTTCCTCCTGCCCCTATTCGTTGTTTCTGTCCACCACGCCCTCGGCCTGTTCCACAGGTATTATTTTTCGGCTGATCACCCCACCATTCAGGGTAGCCGATCAGTTGGAAACAAGACTCTACATCGTGGCTTGTTTTGTTGCAGTGAGTACATACTGTGTTCTTATCTCTGCCTTCGCTTTGCCTCTTTCCTGTGTGGGTTACGAAAGCCACAGCTTCAGCTTTCTCTTCCTTTGCGCGCGTCATAGTCTGAACTTGCTCTTCTTGAACCACTATGGCAAAGGCTCGATTCAAATTTGGCAAGGGTTCCGTACTCAGTATATGCGAACGCACACCTCCATAGACCATGTCATCTAGCCCCATAAAAAATTAATGAAGTTTCTCTTCATCTCGCTTCTTATCCCACGCCCTGCTTATGTCGCAGCTGCACTTGCCACATTGACAAGTGGGATATTGCTCATAATTTCCCAATTCCTCCTGTATCATCTTGAGTTTGCCATAGTAATTCAGAATCGTCATACCTCTTTGTTTGCAATTTGCCAGCTCGGATTTGAGTTGTTGGACTTGTGGTCCATTACCAACAGAAAATCGCTCCTTTATGTCATCCCAGAGTGTCTTCGCAATCTCTATGTACGTTACGGTTGAACGTAAATTTGGTTCAATCGTATTAAGAATCCATGACACAAGCATGGAATTCACCATCCACCAATCTTCTAATTCCACTGAATCTTCCGAAGGTTGTTTCACCGATCCATTGATGAAGGCGAATTTCTTCTTGGCTCGCAGCGCCGTTCTTATTGCTCGAGCCCATTCATCATAGTTGTCACCTCTAAGCTGGATCTGTGTGATAACGCTCCCTAGATTGTCATTGGTTGATAGAAGGTAGGGTGAGATCACATTCCTTGGACATTGACTGCCGCCCTAATCCTTGTTTTCAACCATGTCGAGTATAGTGTTGGTGCCGCTGAAGAGAAACTGTCGCAGAACGTTGATTCGCCGAAAGAACTCTACGAAAAATCACAGTGCCGCACTGATTTGGTAGGTGAAAAATACAGCTCAGAACGTTGTTGCTGTTGATCACTGGTCCGAAGTGCCGCCGCTGTTCACCGAATGAGACGATGAACAGTGATACTTCAGAAACCAGAAGAAGTGCCACCGCTGTTCATCGAAGAAGACGATGATCACCGAAGTGTTGCTGCTTGTCTGAAAACACAGCGCCAGACTGAAAACCACAGCGCGGAACGTTGTCGCCGCTGATCGCTGATCCGAAGTCGCCGCTAGTCACTGGTTCGAAGTCGCCGCTGATCACTGGTTCAAAATGGTTGCGTATGTCCTGCTTATGTGTCAACTACCGTTCAGTTGACTGACATTTTTACAAAGGCATTGAGTCGCAAAGAATTTGAGTACTTTCTCCGCAAGTTGGGCATTCACAATCTGCATGCTCCAACTTGAGGGGGGTGTTAGGATTACAATGGATTACAATTAGGATTGAAAGTCTCTGTTGTAATTGTAATTGAATCAAGAGTCTCCGATCCTGGTATATGTAGGAGACTCTCGAGTGTATATATTTGGGTATTGTTAGTGAATAAGATATGATAGTAGAAACCAGAGGAAGTGCTGCCGCTGTTCTCTGAAGGAGACGATGATCACCAAAGTACCGCCGCTGGTCCAAAAACACAGCGCCGGACTGAAAAACACAGCACAGTTGATCACTGGTCCGAAACCAGAAGAAGTGCCGCCGCTGTTCACCGAAGAAGACGATGATCACCGAAGTGCCGCCGCTTGTCCGAAAACACAGCACCGGACTGAAAACCACAACGCAGAACGTTGTCGCCGCTGACACTGATCCAAAGTCGCCGCTGATCACTGGTTCGAAGTCGCCGCTGATCACTGGTCCGAAGTGCCGCCGCTGAACGATCGTTGCTACCGCCGTTGATCTCCAGAGTGCCCTGGCTCTGATACCATGTAAAACCAGAGCTTCTCTGGTTTTTACTATCATATCTTATTCACTAACAATACCCAAATATATACACTCGAGAGTCTCCTATGTATACAAGGATCGGAGACTCCTGATTCAATTACGATTACAACAGAGACTTTCAATCTTAATTGTAATCCATTGTAATCGTAACAGTGTTTTTTTTTAATTGTTCGAATATTTTTTACAAGGATAGTATAGGAATGAAACGGCGAATTTCAACGAAAAACTAATGAAAGGGGATCTTTGTCTCACGGTCATAGTACAAAGAGGCTCTTTGTCGCAAAACAAAGTATAGGGTGTTTTTTGTCACAGACCCCATAATACATTTACCCAAATTAATAAGAAGAATTCAAATTATTGAACATTAGTAGATCGGGAACATCCAGATCTCCTGCTCGTGAGAATTCTGCCCACCCCTACCCACATTACACTATCCTCGTACGCAGGAGATCCGGACTCGGTCACCACGGATCAATGGGAACAAGCAGATTTTTAGGTGAAGCAGAAATAGAATGTCAGATCAATTTCAATCTGCTCCACTAATTTTAGGGTTCCAAAACTTTATTATTTCAATTTTAAGTGGGAGAAGACAAGTAGGTCATCGGCTACACGTACTGACCCACCTTGCAGCAGGTTCATTTATTACGAGTATAACTGTAGATGATAATTCGCCTTCTACCGTCGATTCTAAATCCAAACACTACTCACAAGAAATCGGACCCAAAAGAAATTATTAAATTCAGTAAAGGAACGGCGACCAGAATTTCTTTCCTTTTCTCTCTCCTCTCACTCTGAATCTGAACTCTATTTATAGTTCTTAGTTAATACTTCATACGCCTTGTGCTTAACTCCGCTCTCTCTCGTCTCCTCTTGTCTCGGAAGGAAGGTAAGGAGTAAAAAAGAGAGCAATCAGCATTCAGCAATGGCTCCCATCTCAGTTGGTGACGTGATTCCGGACGGCACTCTTAGTTACTTCGACGAGAACGACGACCAACAAAAGGTCTCCATTCACTCCCTCGCTGTCGGCAAAAAGGTCATCTTGTTCGGCGTTCCCGGTGCTTTCACCCCAACCTGCAGGTAACCGAATCCCCCTCCCCCTCGTCGGTCCTTGTCTCTTTCAGCCCAACCCTCGCCGCCGCTTAACTCATGGTCTCGCTTCTTTTAACTTTCCAATAATGTTCCCTTCCCTTCAAATCTTTGCTTTGATGGGACCAGGCTTGCTCTGATCTAATTGGGAATTCATCCTTATCGTACAATTCTGCTTATTTATTTAATTTTTTAATATAATGCATATGGAAATTTAATATTATTTTAATTACATAAATTAATTCTGATATATTGGAAATTATCTTATTTATTTTTTTGTTTTTATGGATTGTAGCTTGAAGCATGTTCCTGGCTTCATTGAGAAAACAGAAGAGCTCAAGTCCAAAGGGGTCGATGAAATTTTGCTCATTAGTGGTATTTTTCGTAATTGGTCATTTTTATTCCTTTGATCAGAACTTCTTTGTTGCTTCTGTGACTCTCGTAATGTTTACATTGCAAATAAAGTAGAAGTTTAATCCCAAGGAAACCAGAATTTGCACTAGCGCAAATGAATTATCAAATAAACGGAGCATAAGGAAGAGAATTACATAACTTGATTCGATACCATTACCTGTGATGTACTGAAATAGAAGATTAGCTTTGTCTTTCTGTGGTGCCCAAAAGGTTTTACAATCTTTCTATTCAAATAATACAAGGAACATTTAGCACAAAACTCAAGACAATTGAAGATCAGTTTATCTGTTTTTTAAAACCATCAGAACTAGTGATGGATTCTCTTCTGAATTTAAATTTGATTTACAAATACCAAGTTAAAGACAATGGTTAAAGCATGAAATGCAACATATTGATGATAAGATCCAATGTGTGGGTTTCACATGGGTCAGCAGATTCTCTGTTCCAATTTACAATTCTTCAATCATTATACTTCTTCCTAAACAGAAGTTCAAATAAAATCGCCATAAGCTTCATTTATGGAGAACTCCCTGTAAGGTCTCCAACTTTAGCTATCTCTCTCTGGAAGTTGAAGGAATTTGGGTGAACTGTGGTATAACCTCATCTTTAGTCTTTGCTGAATTATTTGTATACTTGTGAATAACCTCATCTTTCTTCCAGAAGAAGTGACAAATTCAGAGAATTAATACTAGGATGTTGCAAGTTTTTTGAACATCTCAATAGAACCCCTCCCATTTCCCAAAAGCCTCAACTGGATTGAATACTGAATAGCATTAGTTGATGATTCTGTCTAATGATGATCCCTAACCAAGTAACCATGTTTTTTTTTTTTAAATCTTGACTGCAGTGAATGATCCCTTTGTGATGAAGGCATGGGCGAAGACCTACCCTGACAACAAGCATGTCAAGTTCCTAGCTGATGGTTCAGCTACCTACACTCATGCACTCGGTCTTGAGCTTGACCTTTCGGAGAAAGGGCTTGGTACCCGCTCTAGGAGGTTTGCTCTTCTGGTGGACGACCTCAAGGTGAAAGTTGCAAACATTGAATCAGGGGGAGAATTCACCGTCTCCAGTGCTGAGGACATCCTCAAGGCTCTCTGACTCCTACATATTCACAGTTGCCTTTGAGCTTTTGCTTTCTACTGTTATGTGGGCCCTTGGCTTATGCTTTTCTCGCACAATATCTTTGTGGCAGCACGAACTTGTGATAAAGAAATAAATGACTTGTTTTGAATTGTCTCTCTTTTTGTGGTTTGGTTGAATGTTGAAGATATTAATACTAGTCTTTTTGCCTTCTAGAGTTGGATTAATGATGGATTTACGTGATTTCCTAATTTTGATCCGTCGGATTCATTAACAAATTAATGTGAATTCTTGCCCCACGTTCATTGATCTTTCTTAATTGAACTAGGTCCCCTTTGGCCTTTGGATGGCTTTCATGTTAATTGAGTTCCGTTGACAGACCCTAAAGTTATTATTATTATTTTTTTGGTTCATGTATAACCTATTTTTGGAGTTTCGGCTTTTTACCTTCTGGGTTTCTCCAAGCTGCTGTGCTAAAGCCCTCTCAAATGGCCGAATGGGCATCAAGGATAGTGGACACTTGTGGTCGGTTTGTAGTCGCAATGGGAACTGAAATCAGAATCCAAATCGCTCAGTTTGGAAGGAGTACGAATGCAAATGTGTAGAGTGCAAAATCTTGTATTTTATATAATTGTGCATGTTTAATCAATCAGGTTTCTCCCTCTCTTGAACCAAGTCAACACTCTTCTCTCTCTCTCCCCATTCCTCTCCTTTCCCATTTCAATTAGCTAAAAGTATTCTTAACGTCTCTCCCACAATATCTTCCCTCTTAAAACTACATAAGTAATATAGGCAATCAAGGCGTCAACTATCTTTCTCCTCTTACTCCTAAACTAACGCATGCTTGCTTTATCAATAACACTATAGTAGTTTCCATTTTGGCTTAAGTATCGGTTTCCATCTTGGGAGCACTTAGTCCCAGCACACTCATTCTTTTATTTAGGTCTTTGTTTTTGTGTTCTATAATGGAAATAAGATATTCCCAGCATACTCCTTCCTCCATTAGCACATATAGCTCAGTTTGGAAGGAGTACAAATACAAATAAACAAACTATAAAACTTTATATTTTGTATTATTTTTTATATATTTGTATTTGTACTCCTTTCAAACTGAGCCTATGGATTATTTGTATTGATTTGTTTGTATTTCCTTTAATATCTTCATTAATGATGGGCTTGGTTGATCATGGTAACAAGGATCGTAATTGTTGCTCCCTATTAGCCATCTATAGATCCATTTTTCTGTGATGACACTTTTAGGCTATGTTTGGTTTGAAAGAAAATGTAGGGAAAGGAAGGAAAACATAAGGAAATCTATATAAAGGTTGTAAAGGTTTTCCTATATTTCCCTTCCTTTCCCTACTTTTTCCTTCAAACCAAACATGATCTTAAAGCAGATTAAGCTATTTCCTACTGAGTGTTGTTCGTTGGATGAAAGAACTTTGTTGATGTGAGTGTTTAACCTTCTCCAGTGATTGATGTGGATTCGTTATTTTTAGTTATTTCAGTAATTAATAATACTAGTAATTAACACTTTTCAATAATTATTATTTTCAGTAATTAAATAATGATAATATTATTTATTTATTTTTTGAAACAAGGGGTGAAAATCTCATCCCCGGTTAACTTCATTTTGGTTAGGAAGACAATTATTTTGGGTCAGATTCTAGATAATCTGACCCGAATCCGATCCATAACCATATAAGTAAACCGTTTTAATAACAAACTGTCCAGTTTCATCTTTTAGAACCGGTCCAAACCAGCAGAACTATTAATAACCGGTCCACTTTTGTCTTTTAACTATTAACTATTAATAACCAATTATTACTATTAATTTCTCAAAATAATTAGTAATTTATCATAATTACATTATTTAATAAATAATCATTACTTATTAATTCATAATCTAATAGGTAATTATTAATAACTATTAATAACCAATTACTACTATTAATTTCTGCAAATAATCATTATGTTAGTGATTTTAATATTTCCAGTAATTAAATTATTCTAATATCATTTATTTATTATATTTTGTATTTATTTGATATAATGCTTTCAGTAATCATTTATTTTTATTATTTTTGTATTTTAACATTTTTAAGTTTGAGTTACTATTTTTAGTTATTTCAGAAATTAATATTTTTAGTAATTAAAATTTTCAATGATTATTATTTTCAGTAATCCAGTAATTCTAACATTTTTCAGTTATTTGTTTTAATGCTTTCATTAATTAGTTATTAATATTAATTTTCTATTTTAATATTTTAAAATACAAATATTGAAATTTTAGTAATATTTCAATAAATTAATCATTATTTTTTTTATTTTTATTTTTTCAATTATTTCATATTAACATATTTTAATATTACTGAAAATATTAACATTTTTAATCTATTATAAATTTGTTTAATTTCAGAAAATTACTTAAAATTGAAATTGTTATGTACAATTAATGAAACAATTACTGATAAATTACTGAATTATTGATATTTATGAAAATTACAAACATTTTGAAGAAATAATTTATTGATATGTTAATAAATTAATCATTATTTTTTTATTGTTACTGAATTATTGGATTTTCCCGTGCATCACACGGGTCCTGCTAGTTTAGATAAATAGAGTTATAAACATAAAATAAAATTTTAAAAAACATAATATATAATAAAAATAAAATATGTAAATTTTCTATAAAATAAAATAAATTGTGTATATTTATACTTTGAGGCTTACATGTACACCTCAAACCACCTTAGGTTTACGCCTCACCTCTTCGTCACCCAACCGCCTTTCAAGTCTCATCCACCATTAGCCTTTTAAAATCTTGTCCATACACTCCCACTCCATACAGCTAGTTGGCACCTTATACATAGATTTTTCCAATTTGATCTAATAATTGTCATTATACGTGTAAGTTGAACACACTCCACTACTACACTCATAGCATTTCCACTTTCCACAATGGGGTGGGCTGAAATGATGAATTCTAAAAATGAATCTAGAAAGATTGAAGTCTTGATACCAATGTGATCAGAGTCAAAGTCGTCCATTAAATTGGAGACTTTGCTTTTAAGTTTCGACATCATCCTGATGATGAAAAAGCAATAGAGAATTGGAAATTGGAATCGCTTATTTTGGTTAAAAAAACAGAAACCAGAACCATGCTTACTTTAGTCATCAGTCGATGCCATATATACAAAGCAAAGGAAGATGGGAGGAAGAAGAGTAAGAAGGGTTTATTCAATAACCCTCTTTCTTAGTTTCTTTGTACAACTTATTTTTTTAATATTATCAATTGTTACCATAAATGTTATGAATGTTATTGTTTTCTTTATGCAAGGGATAAAGAGAGAAAGAATGAATTTCATGTAATAGGTTAGGTGTCTTTCCTGTAATGGACGAAAACTAAAGAGATACAGGTTTTGTTTGACAATCCAGTTCGGATTTAATCCTCACAAAATCGGAACAGGATCTAGTAAGCACAACATAAGTAATCACGCTAAATGAGCATTTGATAAATATTTTGACAATAGTTAAAAGTGGGTTTTAATCTTTCCCAAATGTGGGCTGAGGGTATTTTAAGGGGCAGGTGTCAAAAAAATTTTCAAGTGCTCATTGAACGTGCTTACAACGTTGTATCTACCTGATCCCAACTGCACAAAATCTGTCATTACACCTCCCTCACAGCCTTTGCACCTATATATTGGAAATATCTTATTGTAGTTTTTAGGATAAATTGCAGATTAGTACCCTTTACCTTGGGTCTAGTCTCATTTTGGCACCAGAATTTTAAAATGTGCCAATTCAGTACCTGAACTCCCAAAACATCTTTAGTTTATTTCTTGTTGCTACCGGTCTATTAGTTATCTGTATATGTACGACTTAAAAGTTTTGGAAAATCTCAAAATTACCCTTTGAAATAAGACAATGTTCATCATCTTTTTCCTCAAGAATCAAGATTGAATCAAAGCAATGGTGAACAACTCCAAACCCACCATCAATCCAAAGAAATTTGAGCATTTGGATGGTTGATAAAGAAAATTAGATGACACCCAAAGGCATTTGTGCCCTTTTACATATCACTAAATGGTGGTTAACGATTTTAGACTAAACTGGAACGTTTTAGGAGTTCAAGTACTGGATTGGCACATTTTGAAACTTGAGTACCAAAGTAAGACCAGGCCAAAAGTATAAGGTATAACATGCAATTTACCCTCTTTTTTATTCATGATAAGATATTCCCAATATGCCATTGTAAGATAAGGGCTGTGAGGATGATGTGAGACTGTGAGGACCAAGGTTTTAAAAACCAAACTGGACAGGGAACCGTTATGGGGACCGGTTTAAAAAAATAATAAAAAATAAAAAACAGCCAAAAGTGTTGTCTGGGTCAACGGTTCAACAGTTTGACTGCCTGGGTCAACGGGTCACTAATCAAATCAATAGTTCTTGGCTCCTAGATATTCTGGTCTGACCGTCCGGTTCGGTCTGGTTTTGCAAATCATGATGAGGACTAAGGTGATGTTTGGCATTAAATGATGATATCCCAAAAATCAGCATCACGTAGGATCCATCTCATAATTTGAAGAATCAATGATTTTTTTTTTGTTGTTTGGTTGGCCGATTTTGCCAATTTATGGGAAATCAGCCAAAAATCTATTATTGAAATCAACCTTTTTCAGGGGAGTCCGGATCTCCTGCCCACATTTATCGCAGCTATACATGGAGAACATCTCATCCTCTGCATAGTTTTATGCAGGGGGAGATGTTCCCAATTCACGGGGGTAGTGTATTGTGGGTAGGCGTGGACAGAGTTTTTGTGGGCAGAAGATCCCGACCGATCACCTTTTTTGGTGATTTCCTGATTTTTAACTGGTTTTGATTTTTGGAGGATGACATATTGGCATAGCATCCAACATGGCATTGAATAATAACTCTAATACAAAAATAATCGGCCCTTGAAAATCAATACCAAATAAATTCAGAGTCAATTTTTCAAAAATTAGCTTACATGGCATAAATGATACCAAACAACAATTTTTTACGACTTTTCAAAAATCACTAATTCCAGAAATCATTGATCACCGATTTCTGAATAATCGACAAAGAAAAATCATCATCGATGCCAAACATCACCTAAATCCGAATTCTAGAAAATCTCATTCTCATGAAAGCATATGGACTCTCCGTGTCGTGAATGTCAGCGGGCCCACACATGTAATCTACTACTGCTAACCCATTAGTCCACTACCACCACTACAAATCCACTTGCCCATTGATGTACGAGAGGGGTCCTCCACTAACCGGCTAATGGCATAGATTTGATTATTTGAATACAGAATTTTTCTTTTTTTAATTTATTAAGATTGGTTTAAGTACAAACGTTACCAATACAAGATAAAAAAGAAGGGCAAAATGACCAAGTCTGCAACCTATGAAGAAGAAGTCCATACTTTGCTAAACAATACAAAGGTTTATAGGTTGTTTAAGTTTGCAATCATGAATTTGAATATGAATAAGAGTGAATGTGAATTCAACGGTAGAGATTCAGATTTTTATTAGTTTTAATTATTGATGTAGGGACATTAGTTCTCTAATAACTTTGAGGTTCAACTGAGTAATTGAAGAAGATACTTTCACTCAGAATTTGAGTTATAAATAGTACAGTACTATGATACTATGTTCATGTCATGTCTAATCTGAAACTACAATTACGGTCACAGATTTTCAAAATAAGGTCTCTATCTGAGGATAAAATAGGATTTTATAAATTTTTTTGAGTCTAAAAACTAATGATGGGTATGTTTAAGTCTAGTGGGTCAGCCCACAACTTGTGGGTCAAAGTATATTTAAGTCTATTTTAAAAACTCGGATGTGGTTAAGTCAATTATTCAAAACTCAGGATATGTTTAAGTCTTTTATCCTTTTTTTTTTTTTAAGCCACAATAATGAATTTATTCATCAATCATCATATATGGATGATTATACAATCAGCAATAAGCCAAATAAGGAGACCGAGCACAAATGTGGAAGAGAGAAAAAAAAAAAAAAAACAACACTCAAACCTCTTTTTGAAACTGAACCAGCACCATTGGTTTTTGAAAAACCATGAATCAATATTGAACCAAAACCAACAGATCAATTCTTGGTTTTTTTATATTTATAATATATAAATATATAATATATATGTTATATAATGAATATCAATTCTTCGGTTTTTCAGCTTTTATTGAGCACCCATACCCAAACACAAATCAATTTTCTGAGAAAATGAAGCCAACTGAGCACCTAGGTTAAGCAACTTGTGAGACCCCTACAGACGACACCAAAAGTCCAAAATAAGACTAATATGAAGTTGACATGCCCATCTCCGAAATATAACCCAATATGAAAACCCTGTCAATATGAGTTTTTTTTTTCTGAAAAATAATTTGTCTATGGAAAAATCACAACCCATGCCAAATAAAAGCTCAAATATCAAGATAGACTTGGAGGCAAGAGAGGGTCAAAGATCCGGAAGAAGGGAAGTAGGGGTGTTAATGGACTGGATTTGAGTTGGACCTGGTGCATTAAAATCAATTTGAACTAATTGAATGGTCCAATAAGAACCAATATCTAGTCAATTGACAAAAGATAAGATTAAGGGTGTTAGTTAGGGGGGGCAACGAGCCGAGCTTTTCACGAGCTGTTTGAGCTTAGTTCGTGAAAAGCTCGGCTTGACTTAGTTTCAACCGAGCTGTTTGAGCTTAGTTCGTGAAAAGCTCGGCTTGACTTAGTTTCAACCGAGCTTGAATTTGAGCTTAAACCCAATTCACTAACTCGATTATGAAACGAGCTGAGCTCGAGCCTATTATCAAATAAAAAATATTTTTATATATAATTTTTTATTTTTATAAAATATTTTTTTTCAAAGTCGAGCTCGAGCTTATGAATTTTTTACTCGAGCCAAGCTCGAGCTTGAACCTTGTAGAACAGTGTCGAGCCGAGCTCGAGCTTCGTACTATTTGGTTCGGCTCGGCTCGAATCCACCCCTAGTGTTAGTGGACTAAGTTAAAGTTGAACCCAATTTGAAGTGAAACCAATGTGAACAGATTGGCAATCTAATAAGACATATTAAATTGGACCAGTCCAGACTAATAGTCCAAAGTATTCACCAGATTGGATTAGAACTGGTCCATTTATGATGGACTCATATTGGACCAGGTCAAGTTGGACCAATATCTGGTCCATTGACAGCCCTAGAGGGAGAGATGGGTGGGAAGAATGAGGATTAAGAAAACACTCGAAGAGACCCATGCAACTATGCAAGGTTGTTCTTAACAAGATGCTCATGATGTTACATTCGGTTTCTAACTGAATTGTTATGGGTGAGTTTAACTGATCTTGGTTATCTTCCTTTTTTTATTAGGTGTCGTTCAGTTTTAGTATAGTTCAAATCAGCCACCCACAAGATTTCCCCCCACAACATCCCACAGCACATTCCCACCGTGTATTGGGAACATCTCCCGATGATGACATCATCATTTCTGGGGTTATCATCGAGAGATGTTCCCAATACACGATGGGGATGTGTTGTGCGACATTGTTGGGGATATCTTGTGGGGGGCTGATTCGGTCTCGTTTTAGTAGGTTTTATGTTAGTTTGTAGTAGGTTGCTTTCAATTTCCTTGTTTTCTAATGGTGCTTTGGTTGTTTTTCTCTTCTGCTATTGCTTTGGCTTTGTAGCTGTTTGTTTCTCTTCAATAAATCCAGTTATTTACCCAAAAAAAAGTTTAATTGATTGTAGATTTTTTGTAAGGCTTAAAGCATATTTCATTCATTCAAGAAATTGGTACAAGTACAGAGAATTGCCAACAAGGCCAATCAGAACATAGATACAATTTCTCAAGAAGAACAAAATTTATAAATGGATGAAGGAAAACATAATGAACTTTTGCAATCAAAGAAAGGTGAATTTAAGATCACCAACAGAAGTAGATAAGCACAACTCCAATCCACCACAAACGGCCAAAGAATGACACGAGAGGTTCCCAAAAGAGACAGTCGACAAAGTCCCAATTATTACAACCGCTACCAGAGACTATAACCCCCTTGTCAAAACGCTTGCAGAAAGAAAAAAAAAAGCACAAAAAAAAAGACAAATAATGGAAAGAACTAAACAGGAAAAATGAGAGAAATAGATGGGAGGAAGAATAATGGGAAGAATGGAAAGAACCTAATGATAGGAAGAACGAAGAATGAAAGCAGGGGAGGAGAGAAGAAAAGAAACAACAGAAAGAAAAAAAAAATAAGAAAATAAAAGAGAGAATAATGAAAAAGGGGATTCTCCCAAAAGATCCATTCCAATAGAGAGATTGATAAAACCTCAAGAAACTCAAGAGAGAAGCTCTCTCTTGCAAAGAGGGAACGGTCTTTCACACGGCTTCGCTGTCTAATTGATTGTAGATGAGTTTAATTAAATAGTCCCATGTTAATTATTTTATTTTAAAAATTCAAAAAACCATAATTAGAAGTTGGGAAGCAATATACGAAAACATTGCAGCTTTGGAGACCTACCGTATATAGTTAGATGAACAATACAAGTTTTCTATTATCCTTAAAAAAGCATGAAGAGGGAAATAAAGCCAAAATGGAGGATAAACAATTCTGCTCAAGAACAGCAAAGAGATAGTAGAAGATGGGTTTCAATACAGGATCTTACCACATGGTCCCAACAATCATTGTAGCTTTGTAGCAGTACAAGGAAGATGTTCCCAATGAACTCTAAGGGTTGTTGGGACCATATTTGAACTTTCAATGGATCATATACCACCACATACGTGAGGCGAAATAGATTATTTCAACTATATTCTTTTGGGCTGTATTTGGATGCAATGTAAATCAAGAACTGATGTAAAATTTACATTGATTTGCTTTTGTATGTGTTTGATAAAAGAGTGTAATTATTATCGACGTAAAATTATACTCCAGTTCAATTTTGCATGCGTTTGGATGGAGTATAGTTTTACGTCGATGATAGATATAAAACTTCATCACTTTTAAAGTTTTACATCGATAATCGATGTAAAACTTAAACATCTTTTTACATCGATTTCAAAATACAACGGTCATATATATTTACGGCTCAGTGTATTTTTACACTAATGACGTTTTATACCTTTTCCAAACACAGCCTTGAGAATTGGGACCTAATTTACACATGCTTAGGGGTGGATAATAGAGCTCGCTTGGGAAAAGGTGGATTTAAGTTAACTCCAACACAATAAACCAATTTTGGATCACCCGTCAACAAAATTCCTTCCAATACCCTACTGACAAGCTCTGATACCACACGAGTTCAGATCTGCACCCCACGATGGGGCGCCCCACAACGTCCCACAGCGCATCCTCACCTTGTATTGGGAATATTTCTTGATGGTATTATCATCAGGAGATGTTCCCAATACATGGGGGATGCGCTGTGGGACATTGTGGGGTGCAGATATGAACTCATACCGCATACCTCACTACGAGATTGGACCCACCAAAGTAGGACCCGCTATGCATGAGATGTGTAGTGTCAACTCGTGTTGGTTGGTGATCTGGACTCAATAAAATTTGGCTCCTAAAACTCACAAAGTCTAATCAAATTTACACATAGACGTGACCCAATTCAAACCGCAGTCTGGATGAATCGGAGACAAAATCATACATACCCAGCTGAACTACCTATCACAGTTGAACATGCCATTGCTCACTGTGAGTCCCTTCTGGGACCCAACTATAATGAACACTAGCATATTCAACCGTGAAAGCAAAGACCCATCGACAACACACAACATTTGATGTCACGGACCCGGTGAAAGAAGACTCCAAGCTTGTGAAGTCTCTGAGTCTGATATATCATCCACAAAAACTGATCGTTCATACATAATATTGGAGAGTAGAACTAGAGAGAAAATGAAATCATATATAGTAGGAAAGGAACCTCTCCTACCGCAAACAATGGAAATCAAGATATCAGAAGTAGCCAATGAATTCAATAGTCAGGCATTAAATTGAACCATGTATTCCATACCAGAGCCAAACAGCCACAACATCTGTGTATAGAAACCCACATCAAAAATTGCAGTGCCAAACATCAACTGAAGAGCTAGAACTTAGCTAAAGGCCAAGGGCAATTAAGTAATCGACAAACAGGAGTTACAGGAGGATGGAGTCATGGAGACTGTAACTAGTGACGCTTACGATGGATATGTCTACCGCCCAGAGACAGTAAATGATTCAAAGCTTGCTTGGAGGAGTCATCGCCGGACTCAATTTGGTTAAAACCGTCCACTGCTTGGCGGAAACAACCAACTCTCCATTATCTTTCCTTCTGATTTCCACCGTCACTGATACAAACTTCCCTTGATTTCCTACCACCTTGGCTTCAATCTCCACTTCCTCCTGAAATAAGCAATTCATCAATTTCGTCAAATGGGATGAACAAAAGAAGAAACACCTTATCCCTTTTCTTTTTCAATAATTAAATACTGACGTTGATCTTAACCGTTGAAAAGTAGGATATATTAAAATCAACGGTGACGTTGATGGTCCCCGTCACAGACGTTATAGCCGCGGCTGCAACAATATCGATCAGAGATGCCACCGCTCCTGCATGCCAATTTCCATTTACATCCTATAGAGAAAGAGAAATCAGTTAATGGATTTAAGAAAGGGGAAATTTATAAAATACCAATAAAAAATCGCAGAACAAATGACGAACAGATAGGTGTCTGGGCAGGACGAAGTTGCATCGAATCATTCCCTTCTTGATTAGGACGATCTCGAGGCCTTGACGAGAGAGGCGATCGATCTCATGACACCATTCTCCACCTCGAAGCCTTTCTGTAGCTACCTGCAGAAAACCACCGTCTTTCTCCATATTCTCTCTCTTTCTCTCCCTTTCAGTCACAGACACGACGCAGAAATATTAGTAAGAGGACCAAAGTTCGACGGGCTCTGTTTGCAGGAAAAATCTACGATGCCGGAAACACATGATTCCGGTGGTTTGCAAAGAATAGAAAAAGGGAAAAAAGAAAACGTGGGTGGAACTGGAATGATGTTCATACACGAACACATTGATCTCGCACAGTCGCACTAATAACCTCTCCCACTGTCTCTGGTCAGCCCCCTCTGGTTCGAATTGGGATATGCTCCAGCGCTCCTCGCACCGACCTCACATTCACATCCCACCGTTTACTGGGATCTGGGAGCTTCTTTATGTGCGGCCAATACTACTGTGAGGTCGTTGTCAGGAGCAGATCTGGACTCCTCTAGTGTGCTTTCACCTAGCCCAATCACGTAGCAGCAGGTCTTCCCTTCTGGCCACTTTCTTTTATGAAACTACCTTCTACGCTTTTGTCATTTAGGTGGTGTTTGGAGTCCTGATGTTTCGGTCCCATTTTTGCTCCTTGAAAGTATGAGAGGCAATTTGGCTTCAAATATGTTTATTTTAGGGAAAGAAAATACTTAAACTTACCCTCAACGTGATTGATTGAGATATGGTTTATGGTGCAATAGACAGTAGTTAATACTAGTAAATGCAAATTAATTTAGACTTGAGAGGGTTTTATTTATGATGTTGAAATGAAAAAATTATTAAAAATGCATAAATTTTATAAAAAATGGGTTTTTATTGTTCAATCCATCTTAATAAATCTTAGCTTTAATGTATAGTTGGGGTACGTGCCAGCTTGGAATTGATGCCAATACACATAGGCCTGTAATGGATTGAATACGAATTGAATCAAGTTAGATTTGAATTCGAAATCGATTATAAAGAATAATATTTGAATTCAATTCGATATCTGACAGATATCGAATATTTCAATTTGAATTCGAAGTCAATTATTAAATCGAATATTCAATTCGATTCGAATTCGATCGATTACTTAATGCAACTAAAGTCTAGACCAATAGAAGATCTTTTCACCCCTTCTCATGGTGGAAATTTTTAGTTAATTTAATTAAGACAAGGATTAAAATGAGAATATGTAATCTATGAAAGTCAATTTACCTTGAGAAAAGAGGCAGGAGATTGACGGCGGTAGTCTGGACTGTTGTAGCACAATGGTCGGTGATGTTGGACGGTTGAGGGCCTTGAGGCATTGAGCAGCGGCGAAGGAGAGGGTAGTGGCTAGTGACTGGTGCTTGACCGCTATCATTGACACTGCCATCGGTGATAGTGGTTGCTTGGGCAATGATGATATTGAGTCACTAAGAGAAGAGAGTAGAAGAAAGATGAGGGGAGACTAGATGAGAGACGACTAGACGGAGCAGCGGAGGATGAAGGGTGGTGACCGGTGATGGTGGTTGGTCGGGCGGCGTCCAACGACGGCGAAGGGAGGGAAGGAAGGTTAAGAACTTAGGGTTAGGGTTTGAAACATGAAAGATGGAGAATGGAGATTGGAGAGAGGTAAGGTTTGAAAGTCAAAACTTGATTTCGAACTCATTTCTCATTTAGTCATTTTCTCAATGATTTTTTCTTTTTTTAACCTTTTTTTAGTTATATATATTTGGGAAAATTCCTGATTAGTACCTTGTACTTTGGGCCTAGTGCCACTTTGGTCCCCAAACATTAAAATGCGACAATTCAATACCCGAACTTTTAAAACGTGTCAATCCAGTACCTGCCATTAATCAACCGTTAAATGGCATTTGAAAAAGACACAAATTCCCTTCAAGTGTCATCTAATTTTCTTTATCAACCATCCAAACATTGACAAAAAATTAACAGTCCCATATCCATGCCTTTTCTATTCAAGAATAGAAGAGGTAAGAATTTGGGATTGTTAATTTTTTTGTTAACATTTGGATGGTTGATCAAGAAAAATAGATGACACTCGAAGGATATTTGTGTCTTTTTTAAATGCTACTGAATAGATGATTAACAGTTGATTAACAACAAGTACTGGATTGACACGTTTTGAAAGGTTAGGTACTGTATCGTCGCATTTTAAATCTTGGGGACTAATATATATATATATATATA